TCCTCTCTCTTAATCTGTTAGAGGTGTCAAATGGATCGGGTCAGGCCGAGCCGAGCTCATTTAAATTTGTGCATTTAAGGTATTCATGTCATGCTAGGCCGGCCCATTTAATTTACCGGATCGTGCCGTGTTGGCCAATTTAGTAAAACCATTGATTCCAGCATGGTCTAAAGCCTAAGTCCACATTTAAACGTACTGGGCTCGTGCCGTGCTGGCCTGGCCCCACTTCAAGCAACTTAACACACACAACATAACCTAAATGAGTTTGAGCATGATTAGTTTTTCCAAAACTTGCAGATTTTGCATGAACTTTAACCCACTCATTACTCATGAGAATGAGCATACTTAAGATCCTTCATAACTGCAAGTAAATGGAAAAGTAAAAGATCAACCACCAGGAGGCTATGAATGTAACAAAATAAAAACTCACCAGTTGCAAATCCAACCAAAACAGAATTCTGATAATATAATACCATCTGTCAATACAATAGTAAGTAACCACTTCTTTCTGAGTTTGCGCTCAGAACAATTTAGTACATCAGATCTCGTATTATCATATCTCATCATCAGATGATAATATTGGGAAGAACAAAAAGATTGTTTTTCCCATAGAATGCAAAGCCGTTCTCTGCTTGTGGGGATAAAACCGTACTGGAAGTGATGCCTTTTTTCTTGTGCGACAATCAATCCATGTGTGTCTCAGCTTTAGACTTTCCGGGGTGTCGTCGAAATTCCATCTACTTCTTTATTGATGATTGGGAGGGCGTTGCTTATGATGAAGCTCAAGGGCCTTTTGACATGGCAGTCTTCAATTTGGAACAAATTAGTACTGCTTTAGTCATTCACAGAAGTTCATGCCAGCATCGAATTGGATTTTTCCCATAAAACTATGTCACCTTGACCCATGTGACCAAAACTAACAGAAAATTGTAACAGCCCTGACGGATGGGGGCACATTGACACTTCTTAAAAGATTAGAGACCCTTAAAACCAAAATAAAAAGTTCAGTGAGCAAAATGAAACAAAGTCGGCGCTCTTGATAAAATAAAATAAAAGTCTATAATTATAGGGGCATGATGTAGGACGAAATATGGTCACTTATGACACTAGGAAAAGAAGGAAGGCGTATCGTTGGGATTTTCTAATTGATTGAAGAAGAATTGGAGTGAAGAAGAATTGGAGCGAAGAAGTGAAAAGGGACATAGCAGGAATTTGCAGATTTGGCGTCCGAGCTCCGATTAGGACGCAAAATACCATTTCGGAAAGGGAACGACGCCACGAGTCAAACTCACAGCTTTGCTGTGATGTATGATGGATTTTGGCATTCTGAGGTCGTTTGGCCTTCCAAAACCGCATTCAAAGTTTCGTAGTTAATTTTCGGAATAAATTCTGTTTTTCAGTTTTAATGTAATAACTCCCCTAGCAGTTACAAGGGTTGAGAGTTGTGTATTTAGGCAGATTTGGTGAACGTTTTTCAACACTTCAGTTTTATGAATCAAATAATTCAAAGAGAATTTTCTCTCCAATTTCTTGGTGGATTCCAGATTATCGTTCTTTAGGATTTTCGCTTGAAAATCTATTTGCTTGTGCTGTGTTACCACTTGACGCAGCACAAGCAACAAAGGTTTCAAACGAAAACCTTGAGTAACAAGAGATCTGGATTCCACCAGAAACTAAGAGAAATTCTCTTGGGATAATTTTGATTAAAATCTGAGATGTTCAAAAACGTTAGACAAACCTCCCTAAATACACAACTCTCAACCCTTGTAACTGCTAGGGGAGTTATTACATTAAAACTGAAAAACAGAATTTATTCCGAAAATTAACTACGAAACTTTGAATGCGGTTTTGGAAGGCCAAACGACCTCAGAATGCCAAAATCCATCATACATCACAGCAAAGCTGTGAGTTTGACTCGTGGCGTCGTTCCCTTTCCGAAATGGTATTTTGCGTCCTAATCGGAGCTCGGACGCCAAATCTGCTTGCGAAAACATGAGCAGTGGCGCCACCCTCCCCACCACCTCTAGTCCAAACCAAGATTGTGCACACAAGCAGGCAAAGCATGCCCGTCATTATCACCACCACGATATTGCAGTCACATGCCCCTATGATTTGTTTTTGAAGAAGAATGAGGGGGGAGAGAGAGAGAGAGAGAGAACTATGAAAACCTTATACGGGAACAAAAACAATAGTGCCATATATATATATAAACACAAAGGCCAAAGGATAAATTAATCTCCACATTAACTTAGCAGATAACATTTCATTACAACATAATGAACTAGTTAATCAAGCACCATAGTTTTCTTAAATTTTATTGTCAATAATATAAGTTCAAATTAATTGCTAATAGGACAAATCCTACCCATATATATATATATATATATATCCTCTCTCTTAATATGTTAGAGGTGTCAAATGGATCGGGTCAGGCCGAGCCGGGCTCATTTAAATTTGTCCAAAGCCTATGTCCACATTTAAACGTGCTGGGCTCATGCCATGCTGGCCTGGCCCCACTTCAAGCAACTTAACACACACAACATAACCTAAATGAGTTTGAGCATGATTAGTTATTCCAAAACTTGCACATTTTGCATGAACTTTAACCCACTCATTACTCATGAGAATGAGCATACTTAAGATCCTTCATAACTGCAAGTAAATGGAAAAGTAAAAGATCAACCAGCAGGAGGCTATGAATGTAACAAAATAAAAACTCACCAGTTGCAAATCCAACCAAAACAGAAAATATAATACCATCTGTCAATACAATAGTAAGTAACCACTTCTTTCTGAGTTTGCGCTCAGAACAATTTAGTACATCATATCTCGTATTATCATCTCTCATCATCAGATGATAATATTGGGAAGAACAAAAAGATTTATTTTCCCATAGAATGCAAAGCCGTTCTCTGCTTGTGGGGATAAAACCGTACTGGAAGTGATGCCTTTTTTCTTGTGCGACAATCAATCCATGTGTGTCTCAGCTTTAGACTTTCCGGGGTGTCGTCGAAATTCCATCTACTTCTTTATTGATGATTGGGAGGGCGTTGCTTATGATGAAGCTCAAGGGCCTTTTGACATGGCAGTCTTCAATTTGGAACAAATTAGTACTGCTTTAGTCATTCACAGAAGTTCATGCCAGCATCGAATTGGATTTTTCCCATAAAACTATGTCACCTTGACCCATGTGACCAAAACTAACAGAAAATTGTAACAGCCCTGACGGATGGGGGCACATTGACACTTCTTAAAAGATTAGAGACCCTTAAAACCAAAATAAAAAGTTCAGTGAGCAAAATGAAACAAAGTCGGCGCTCTTTATAAAATAAAATAAAAGTCTATAATTATAGGGGCATTACTAAAATTTACTGTTAATAATTTATTTTATGTTCTAAGTCGGCTTATTCTAAAACTCTTTTTCATCAAGAATTTGACCATATTGAACCATACAAGGAGAAAAAAAACATAGTCGTTCATAGGTTTTGCTGGAATGGGGGAATATTCCACTTTGTAACCAACGAGGATAATTAATCCAACAATGCTCATGGCCTAAGAAAAGCCTCCCCCAATTCCTTATAAATTGTCCATGAACTACAACCCACGCCAGGCCTAAAAAAGTCACATCTAGCACACTATGGAAGAGGCCTCAGCTCTAGCTTCAGGCTGGGCATGCCTTCCAAGCGACCTTCTGGATTCGATACTAGAGAAGTTGATACCTGTCTCGGACTATATCATGTTTAGTGCCGTTTGCAAGCATTGGAGATCGATAGCTTTACATAACAGCAAGAAACGCCTTGAATCATGTCACAGGCAGCTTCCTATGCTGATGGTACCCAGCAAAGACAACAACGACGAAATGCGTGGCTTGTATAGTGTCACACAAGGTAAGACTTACACCTTTGAGTTGCATGTGCCTTACAATAGGAGGTGTTGTGGTTCGTCTCATCGTTTCTTGGCTTATGCGGACGACAAATCGGTAATAACACTCTTAAATCCTTTCACTGGATGTGCCATTAGCCTACCGCCAGTCACTAAAGTCCCACGGTTGTTTATTAGACCTGAAAGGTACATTAGGAAGGTTGTATTGTCTGCTGACCCTTATTTGTTTCCAAATGATTGCGAAGCTCTGGTAATCTATGATTATTCTGAAAAAATAGCCCATCTTAAGTTAAGGGATGTTTCAACCAAAAAACAAAAGAAAAAGTCAGGGAAAAAGAAAAAGTCGGGGAAAAAAAAAAAGTCAGGGGATGATGGTTGGACTCACATAGCCACAGATACTAGGAGCCAATTCTCTGATGTAATTTATTATAGAGGCCAGTTTCTAGTTGTTAGTAGTCATGATGGTCCGGTTTTTTCTATCAATGTCAACAGTGCAACTACTGAACCTTACATAAACAAAGTGGTAGAACAGGCTCCACTATTTGGACTCGGATCTTACCTTGTCGAATCGTCCCGTGGAGAGCTTTTGCTCATTAGGAGGTTTAGAGGTTCTCATTTTCATCTTGGGATGACCATGAGCTTTAAGGTTTTCAAACTGCTACGTGCTTGTGGGGATAGACCAGAATGTGTTGAGGAGATTGAGAGTATTGGCAGTGATGCTTTGTTTTTGGGTGAAGTTGAGTCCATGTGTGTGTCTGCATTAGAATTCCCGGGGTGTGAACCAAATTGCATATACTTCAGTACATCAGATTGGGGATGTTATATTCGCCTTGAAGCTGAAGGGCTTCTTGACATGGCTGCCTTCAACTTGGCAACCGGAAGAATGGAAACCCATTATTTCTCCTCCGGTCGTTTAACCAAGATGATGCCATCATCAGTCTGGATTTTGCCCACCGTGGTGTCAAGGCCTTGAAGCTCATCAGTCTGGATTTTGCCTACCGTGGTGTCAAAGCCTTGAAGCTGTGGCCTCAGACGTTGAACACAACTGCTACAAAAAATGTGATTCAAATTTTTTTAAAAAAAATGTATTCCCATTGCAATTGACTTTCAAGAAAATATGTTTCAAATTATTCCTACTGCAACTTGTAGCACTTCATCTCATTCTCAGCAATGAACAGTTAACAAATCCCACATCTGCCACAATATCCAAAGGACAGACCAAACAGGTGAAAGACAAAACTGATCATTCATTATCCAGATAGAAACAACAATCCCAATAAATTGATTCCTCATGAGGAAGAAAGGCGGTGTAAGAGACAGAATAAATGTGGAAAGCTGAATTTGCACTTTTGACTACCCCTGTTACATTCTATGCACAAGCAACCCATTTTGTGAGGAGTGCCTGCTGCCATTGGCCTGGATCAATCAATGTGCATCTTCTTCTTCACAAAACTTGGTGTACTTTTCTGAGTCCATCAACTTTTTCACTTCACCGCTATCACTTATCTCGACTTTAATTATCCATCCATCCTCATATGGGCTTGAGTTGACCTAGTTCAGAAAAATGGATCAAACATTACCACAGGGAAAACATAAGGGGGTGTGGAATCTTTGATGTGTCTGTAATGAATTGATGTTCATAGAGGATGCATAATCCAACAAATTATGCAAAACTTCAGCAGTTGAAAGGAATTCCAAAAGCTGAAAGACTTTTGATGGTTTGGGATAACGCTTGAAGAGATAGTTACAAATTTCACAAAGGACCACAAACTTCAATTCAAGCCCACCTAATAGTTTATCCAAACATTGATTGTGTCAAAAATATTGGGGGTGGTTGAGCTTAAAACTGACATAATAATTTAATGACATTTTAACCATTAAAAGAAGAGATGAGTGTTTAACCATAAACAAGATACCTTTGTTTAGCCTTTCAATAGATTACCAAGTTGTCTTTTCAAATATGGGGCATCAACAATAACTAAAATGTTAGTTCTTAATTATGTTTCACTTATGCTACCATCTCCACAACTCTTAAATTACAAAAACTATACGTTCTCCACACTATTCAAATTCAGTCACACAAGTATTTATCAGCTAACCCCACTACTACCAAAAAAATTATGACTAATTATGAGATGGGAATTACTGACTTGAAGAGAGAGAGAGATAGAGGTTCCATCTATATGCAGCTATAACCAAGTCTAAGAGAAAATGCCACATGGAAGTCTACCACACATAAAACCTTCCCATAATTCTTTAGAAAATTTTGAGTTGGTAATGGTATCATCATGTAACTGAAGGAAACACTGCCTCACTGTTAAGCACATAACTCTAGACAACTTATAAATTGTAGCACTTATTCTTAGGATTTCACTAAAAATAATGAACAGGACGTTAAGCCACTACGGATTTAATACAAAACTAATTTCAGGATGTCTTTGACTACATAATTGAAAAATTATTTCAACTTTAAATAACTCATGACATTAGCAATAACCATTCTCAATTTTTTTCTACTTTGTTTTGGCCTGATATAAAGTAAGTCTTAGTTAAACAAAGACAAATAGCGAACTGTCTTTGTAATTCAGATATAAGGATACCAACGACAAAAGTAGGCAAAAAGCGAAGAAAAACACCCAGCTGGCCTGTCTTTATGCAAGTATCATAACAATCCTAAAAATAACATAAGCCAAGGGTACCTACCAAACCAGGGGAGTTGCCAAGCTCTTCATTGACTTCAATCACTTTTCCTGACACAGGAGAGTAAATATCACTTGTTGCCTTGACACTTTCAACCGCTCCAAAACCTTCACCCTGCTTCACAGCAGCCCCCACTTCAGGCAACTCAACATAAACAACATCACCTAAATGATCTTGAGCATGATCAGTTATTCCAACAGTCGCAGAGTTTCCATCGACTTTAACCCACTCATGAGAATCGGCATACTTAAGATCCTTCACAACTGCAAGTAAATAGAAATGTAAAAGATGAACCACCAGGAAGCTATGAATGTAACAAAATAAAAATTCACCAGTTCTGATAATATAATACCATCTATCAATACAATAATAACAACTTCCTTCTGAGTTTGCGATCAGAACAATATTTCGAATTAGGTTCATATCTCATCAGATAATATTACTGGCCAAAACACTTTACAATACACTGAGTAAATAATAATCCCAAAGTTATACCATCTCAGATATAATTTGGCTTGGTTAAACAATTATAAGTCCATATCGAGACTTCATGTACATGACACCCACTCTGAACTTGTTTTAATTGCAAGAGAAGAGACAGACAAGAAATCCCATTTTTTTTCATTCACAGTGCACAGATATATTTATCTAGAGGCGACCTTGTAACTAGAACAAATGAAAATGAAAGCCTTGAACATGTATCTGTCAAAAACTAAGGACAGTCACTCACAGCTGAAACTAAATTCTAGCCAAAGAGCAATAACTATAGGATCATAATGCGCTGATTATTATACCTCACTGACATCAAATTTTGCAAAAGACACAGAAACCCATTAATCTCTGGAAGATTAAATCCACAACCACATCATATCAAACCATTTGGCAAAAAGACGCACAACCCGTCAGGAAAAATCAGATCTTTAGTTGCAAAAGTTATAGATCAATCATTTTAACAAACCCAGAAAAGAGATCCACATCTTTACCAATACCAAAACCAATGTCAGAAAAATCAACTTCTTATCAATCTAAGCATTGAATATAAAAATTACTAACAAACCATGTTCAAAAGTATTCATCTTTCCAGAGGATCATTGTGGAACACATAAAGCAAATTAATAAAAGAAAAGTGATCCAGGAAAAGAGGGAAGCGGTAGGTTTGTATTAGCTTACCAGAAGCAAACCCTCGGTGGGTCACTTGGATTCTGAGGTAGGAAGCAGCCTTTGAAGCCCACAGCAACCTTGAAGCCATTTGTGAATCCAACAGCACTACCACTCTGTTCCTCTCTTTATATATAAAATACATTCGTTCTCTTCTCTTCTCTTTTATATAGTGGGGTTGGTGGGTGTGGTTTTCTATTTGTTTCCACTTTCCCTATAATTAATTAGTCTAATTGGAAATAAATAGAAAATATAGAGCGAATATTTTGAGAAAATTTCTAGAAATTTAAAAAAGAAAAAGAAAAAGTTTGATATGAAGATACGAGGTGGTGTGTCAATTTGTCAACAAACCCAATAAGGCCGAAGTTGGTGAGTGTCACTGTGGCAGAGTGATTCTGTCGAATTATTATTTAAAGGACACGTCACATGTTAATGGAACTTCCATAAAACCATGGTCTATATGACACAAGTGGACATAATTTATATATCTATTTTCATTTTATGCCACTTGTGATTTTTTTTGCTTTTCCTTCCTCCCCAATGTTGCACTTTTTTGTTACTTCATTGGGATTAAGAACGATTCCTTGTACTGATTAGTAAACATCTGTAAAAGACTACAACTCACCACTTCATTCTGTGAAATTTTCTTTTGTCGAATGATTTATCAATTCCTTATTTTATCTTCAAATGCAGTTCAAATTTGTTACATACTCTCAGGTGAAATGTCTTTCTGCTGTTAGAAGATGGCTTCAGTCGAAGAAAACAATGATCAGTGACTGCATCATCGTTGTCGTGACCGAATCGACTTCCAAGTTGGTTAAGGAATTGACAATCTAATAACATTATTTCATGTACCTTCTTATCTCATTTTACTTGTGGACGTGTAAAAGCTCAGGCAAACATTTCATAGACAATCATAAAGTGCTCATCCTCCAGTGGTTGCAAACATGGAGCTACCTTTAGTAATGTAGAGAGATGAAGCTTGAGCATCCCTTAATGAATAATGCTTTGTGATGATCCTGATGAAGAGATGGATGTTATGAGCATCCGTTATCGGATCCTGTTGTCTACAGCTGCAACCATTGTAGTTTTTTTCTTTCACAAGTTGTGTGCTGAGGTTACCTACAGAGATAGGGCACCCCCTTCACCTAAAACACCTTCTGACTCTTCTGAACCTACTTCAGTGGCTTCTGTATTCAAAATGCATGTGGTGATGCTTTTTGTTTCATTGTAGTATATGCCTAGTTGTTGGCCTTCACGTCCATTGTGCTTTGTTATCCAGCACAAGCAGCCCTACCTTTAGCTTTCATTTGAAACAAAGGGTTAAAATACCTTCACCTACCACAGAAGGTAAAACACTTAAGTCACTTGCATCCCCATTCCCTTCTGTATTAATTTGTAGAGGATGAGGCATCAGAAGAATCAGTTTGTGATGTTTGTGAGAAAGAAAGAAAACCTAAGAGGGAGGGGTTCACTTGCAAATCTGGATCATTTCACTACAAGTTCCAATACTTCAGATAAATTTGGATCCTCCTCTGTTAGAACTTAGCAACTTGCAAATCAAGGGCATAATGCAAGACGGCCTTTCAACTCCTAATAAGAGAAAGATGACAAACTTCTTGCAATTTAATATAACTATACACGGATGACCATAACGTAATCCAGAATATTTGTCCTGAATAAATTCAAGTGGGGAAACTCGTTTGCTGCATATATATAGAATATCTATCTTTATGATCAATATTAACAAAATCCATCCATCAGATAGGTAAAACAGTCCTGATATCCTTGTGCATTGTTCTAATAACAGTACTAACCTGCTCGGTTTGATCTTCACTTGAACATGCTCCAAGAAGTACTTTGGCAGTTCCACCATCTGGGTAGCACCCAGCATCAATCATTTCTTCAAAAATTTCCAAGCATCTTTTGTATAGTTTCTTTTTAGAGTATGCTCCAAGACGAGAAGTCCAAGTCACAACATCAGGTTTTAAGTTTTTGGTCGGAAGTGATTGAAAGAGCTCTCCCATCTTCTCGAAAAACCCTGCCCGTCCATATATGTTAATCAAGACGTTGTATGTACTGATATCAGCTGCATATGGTCCTTTTTCCATTGCAGTCAAGACTTCCTCCATCTTTTCTAACTGACCTAACCGGCCATACAGGTTTAACATACTGTTAATGACAAAGGTGTCTAGCTCCAGGCCAGACTTTTGCATCTGGTTCACAATGTCCTCACATTTTGCTACATTGCCAGCTTTGGAGTAGGCAGATAAAAGCAGCATATGGGATTTCACTGTTGGGGTTATTCCTAAACGCTTCATCTCTTCAAATGCAACTTCTGCATCTGAAATGCATACAGAGAACAGTTAACATAAATGAAGATGGTTAGAATTTAGAATGCTGCAGTGGTTATAGAATTATGCATGGAATGAGAAATATAATAGAAGACAATGATGATAAAGTTATTTCTATCATAAGAACATAATAGCACTGAACAGAACAGACTTATCCATAACAGTTTCATTTGCAATCACAAAGGTGCCTTAAGTCTGAATGTTAATATTTACCTTCATGAAGACCAGCCCTCCCATATGCATCTACCATGATATTATATGAAGCTCTATCGGGTTCACATCCCATGTGCTGCATGAGAGAGAAAATTTCTGCAGCCCCATAAGGAAACCCTGCACGACTGTAGGGAGAAAAATCATACAGAAGTTTGGGTGTATATTGAAACAACTTGGACATATTGTTTGAAGTTATTTATCAAGGAGGTATAGTAATATATTCTGAAATGATTGCATATTCGTGGAACATTAAACCACCAAAGTCAGTAGATATTAACCTGTAAGCTTCCATAAGTGCATTATAAGCATAAACGTCAGGCTCGTGTCCTGCTTCTTGCATCTGCTCAAATATTTCTTCTGCTTTCTCACAAAGTCCTTCCCTAGCAAATGCATTTACCAAAGCAGTATACGTGCATATGTTGGGTTTACATTTCTGACTTCTCATTTCGTGAAACAGCTTTAAAGCCATGTAGGATTTTCTTTCCTGCACAGATCTTAAATTTTGAGGAAAATTTTGTTGTATTGTTTAATAAGCTAGCAAGAAATAGAACATTTGCTTGTTAGTAATCTGAAGCAGTGAACTATACCAGCAGACGATCATTAGAAAAGCAGTGGACTTGAAGCTTGCCGAAAGTACTAAAATGCAATACGGCTCACCTTTCCATATAAATTGATTAATGTCGTATATGTGTCAGTAGATGGTTGGCATTGATCTCTTTTCATCCTCTGAAAGATCTCTAGTGCTTTTTGAGGGTTTCCTCCTTTTATTAACCCATTAATATAAGCATCGAACACGATTGCACCTGAGTAAAATTAGGGATCTTTCTGCATGAATTCACATTGTACTTAGTTTGAAGGAAATGCAATCAGTCATATCTGATAAACTAACAAGCTGGGGCCAAGGTTTTTGAATTTTGAGATTCAAACAAGATTTACCAAGCAACATTGAAAAGTATTTCAAGGCAGAAGCAGTTATTAGAAGCTAAAAGAACGTTTATATACATGATTACGATGATAATGATCCACAGTATTCATTATTTGATTTCTCAAGCTCCTTAGATTAACTTTTTCCCTTCATTATAAGCAGCTAGAAATTGGAACAGACACATACTTGGAGGAAGACCATACTTTCTCATTTCACCAAAGACAGCTTCAGCCTTATCTAGCAATCCAGACTTGCAGTAGGCCTTCAGAAGAAGGGCATAAGTGTCTTCAGTGGGGATGCATCGAGCTTCAAGAAGTTCTAAATATGTTGATTCTGCCGCTTTATGTTGCGATTTCTGCCCATAAGCATCTAGCAGCAAATTGTAGCAGATGACATCTGGCTTGAAGGAGCTCTTGTACAATATCCACTCACATATCTGGACAGATGATTTCAACATTCCACTCAGAAATATCAAGTTTATCAAAATATCACAAACTTTTGATCATTCTAAATATGACAAATTGCAAGTGCAATATTAGATAGTAATCAAATTCAACATGATGGGGAATACTAATTTCTCACCAAGATAATGGAGCCCCACTGTTTATTGAGACGAAGTTGAACAGCGACATTAATGATATCGTCCCATACGGTATGAGAGGCTGGAAGTGTATCGAGAATTTCCCAAATACTGCTTTTATCAACTTCCTTCTGTACAAGGTCCAGAATCTGCTGACCAGTGGGGCTCATCACTGGGAAAACTCCATCAACAAACCCGGATCCATATTTCCATCCTCGCCCCCTTAGAGAACCACCTAGACAAAGAAGATGGTCTGCACTTTTGAACATGTGTATGCAATAACATCATAGCTAAGACAACAAAATGAGTACAATGTTCTGTTTACATCGTTTCCTAGACATTTTCTTGTTGTTAAAGCTTCTGAATTTTCCACGTTTGTCAATATATAGGCCATCACACTTGCTCTTCTCGACAGCTCCACCACCATTGGAACTCTTGGTTTTCCATCTGAAATTACTCTTACTACAGACTCTTGGCCCTATGAAAATATAACTGATAGCACATTCAACAATCAACCTATTTAGTTACCAAATGAAATTTCCATTAGTGAAAAAGGATGGACATTGATGCACAAACTAAACTGAAAAATGTAAGATACAGTCAGACAATGAATGAAGAGAGAAGGAGCTTACATGAATGGTTGGAGGTGGAGGAGGAGCTTCCAGTTTGGTATTTTTGTGAGCTTTCAGTTTGCAAGAAAGAAGATAGTGTTGATAACATGCAGGACGGGTGAGGACAAAACAGATAAATTTCAAAATATCTCACACCTTTTATATGGACAACACATTTTCTTTGTCTTTTCATTCTTATTTACCCACCCAGATTCAATGAAAATTTTACCCTATTGCAAATAATAATAATAATAAAACGGTAATTTAGGAAAGGAATTGGATCCTTATAAATACCAATGTTATTCAAAGAGATTCAATGAAAATTTTACCCTATCTCAAAATACTTCTACATACAACAAAAACATCCCCTATTATATCACCAACAGCCAGACGTTGGCCCCAGGGAGTGTTTGGAGAATTGAAAAAAGTTTGTGTTTTCCGCTGGTACCAACGTCTGGCTGTTGGTGATAGAACAGGTGTAGTCCTTAATGCATTGGTGTTGGAAGACTTCAAGGAGT